CTATCTCGAAATTTGAGTTCAGTTTCTTTTCGTCCTTTTTCCCCAAGAGGTGAATGGTTTTTCACTTTCATTGGAACCGTACAATCTTTTTAGGTTATCTGCCCGATTCCGCATGCAAAAACTTAGTATGTACTAATAACTAGTAGAAAGCTAGTGGGTTTCTTCTTCTTCGGAGATTACGCTTGCAACGTCCATCTTCACGTCAACCATCGTTGTCATGTCCTTTATCTATGTCTAGTGACACTGGATCGATACTGGATCACACAATTAATTAATAGGTAATAGAGGTGGAAAAGCCGTCTTTCTTTCCTTCTTTGGCTTCATCATAGAATATATTTTCAACTTCTTTCTGATGGCTTCAACAGAGTTCTTCGACTACTTGGATTCGTTGCTTTTGATGCACTAGGACAAAGATTCTCGTCAAAGGACTTTGGAAAATTAGAGCTCAGTTTCTTTTCGTACTTTTTCCCCAAGAGGTGAATGGTTTTTCACTTTCATTGGAACCGTACAATCTTTTTCGGTTATCTGCTCAATTCCGCATAAAAACCTAGTCTGTACTAGTAACTAGTAGAAAACTAGTGGGTTTCTTCTTCGGAGATTAAGCTTTCAGCCACTTCCATCTTCACGTCAACCATCGTTGTCATGTCCTTTATCTATCTCGGTGACACTAGGTCGATACTGGATCACACGTTTAACTAGTAGGCAATAGAGGTGGATCCTCAGACGGTTTTAAACCATGAGGAACGTCTTTCTTGTTTTTTAAGATATATTGCCGAATTGTGAACTTTGTTTATATATTAAAACATAAAGACATATAGTAGTAGTAGTATTAATAGAGGTGGAAAAGCCATATTTCTAAACTTCTTTGGCTCTATCATCGAGTATATTTTTAACTACTTTCGGATGGCTTCATCAGTGTACATTCTTCGACTACTTGGATTTAGGGTCAAAGATTCTCGTCCAAGGGCTTTCAAAATTAGAGGTCAGTTTCTTATCGTACTTTTTTCTCAAAGAAGTGAATGGTGCCACACATTCTTTGGAACCGTCCAATCTTTGTGGTCACGTCATAGTCCCTCTCATAGAGCTCTACCCACAGGAACACCTTCCTTGTGGGCCCAGGCAAAGTCCGACCAACAACCCTGGTGCTTGGGGATAACCAATAATGGAGGCAAATTTCCCCCCTTGCATTCCTATACCCTTCCTTTCCTAAGTTTCCTTTCCCTTCCTTACCCCCTCTGTTTTGGTTCCTGGGTTACTGAACCCGCACCCCTCAGGCAACGGGTGCATCAGTAGGGGGGTTCGTATGAACTCCCGGTTGGGCGATCAGTCCTACCTTAAAAATAATACTGAACCACGGGAGTAGAGTACCTTAGCTGGAGGGTACCGGCCAACCGGAGCCGGAGATAGAGTGCCTTCTCTATCTCTCCGGTGGTGGTGAAAGGCCGTGCCGGAAACCACAAAACTGCCTTTTTCAAGGCACAAGTATGGATGTGCCCTTTTTAGGGCACTTCTGAACTTGGTTAGCATTGCACTACCTCGCTAGCCAAGGGATGTGATAATTCCATACATCTACAATCCGTACAATCTTCCTCGTGTTCTCTTTGAGAATACCGGGCGTCTGAGAAGTCCCTCTGGGGATAATTTCGGACGTTAAAGATCCTCATGGGTCTCAGCAGCCAAGCAGCTCCACCAAGACGATTTTTTATCGCATAGGGTACTTAACTCTCAAAGGTCATTGCTTAGGGGTTTTTGTAAGTCATTATTAAGGGCGGAAATCTTCATAATTTCATAAATTGTTTAACCTAATGAAATACTACGCTACTAATCCGTTTTAATTGTTGACTTGCCTAACTTGAACAATTGAACCAAGCATGACTAAAATGTTCTGTTCTCAGCGATACTAGGGAGTGTTTAACATTCATCCAGGCCAAATCGGACATTAAAAAAATACATTTGTAATCATTTGTTTTGCAATCAAATCTTGATAACTTGAGACTTCACAGAGATACAGAGTAGTTTTTTTGTGTTAGAAATTTCATCTTGAAATTTAGAAAGGGGGCAGTAAAGATATTATAAAGATAGGTATGACGTATTGTTGTTCAGCAGGTAAAGATTTCTTTTTATTTTGGCCACTGTCCTCTAATAACAATACGAACTGGTTCGACTGAGATCTTTATATAAATAGATTATAATAGTTCGTCCGAAAATTAGCCTATACTTTAAATAGCCTATTTAAACAGTGCTTTTTGAATATTTTTAATATAATTTATCGCTACTTTTACAGTTTGATTACATTTTTAAGGCACTAAAATGAACTAAAATATTAACTTACTAAAAGTACAAATATTTTAAAAAAAACCTTAAACTATCAATATTGATCAAACTATCTTCTTGAGAGCCAAATAAAAAAATCACCATGCTTGAAAAATGTTGAAAGAATTTTGGGTGGGATTCTTTCCGGAATTGATGGAGTCGTTAAAAAATGAGAGCACTTTGTCCAAATGGTTGGTGCAATAGATCGCGTGACCTCAACCCAACATTTACTTTTATTAAAGCGTTTTACAGACCCTTTTACCTGCCGAGTCCTCTTTGGGTCTGGTTTCTGGTCCTGTTGATTCCTTAATCACGCTTTGTCAACCGGAGGGGTTTTTCTCCATTAGCCTGGATCGTCGAATTCCACCCTTGGAATTCCTTTTTACTTTGCCTCTGGAAATATGAAGATTTACTGAACTGTCTCTCATCCCAGGATAGAAATAGCAAGTTTTATGGAATGTCTTAGAGGAACTTCTCAGAAGGACATGACCAAAAAATAATATATTTACATAATAATTTTGCTTTAATTTATTTATTTTATTATTGTTCTTTTAACTTTTAGGGTCGGCAAAGTACATGACATTGGTCATCGCCAGCACTCTCATTCTTGTCATTTCTTGTCTTTCACGCGTTTTAATCTTACCAGTTTCTTTTTCTGTTTCTCCAGCCAAGTTATGATCAGACTAAAGAACCGACTGTCTCTTTTCTTTACCTAATGCTAGCTTCTCTGTACCTCAATACATCTTCAATTATGGGTAAAATAACAAACACAAAAACCAGAAGCAAGATAAAATATGACAGTATATCATTCATACTACCCTATATAACTCGATATTGGGGGTAAAGGTACCACTTCATTCCCTCTAATAAATTACTTACATTTACTCTTAATAAATTACACACCAGACTTTGTTCACTCTGCCCCAATGTACTCAATAATCCTCGGGGTAATTGGGGATAAGCCATTCACACTGATAAAATATATTTACACTACCCTAGAGTACTCGATATGCCTTGGGGTAATTGGCAATGTCTCCATTTGCACATGAATATTCCGAGATAATTCTTCCCACAATGGGCACCTGCGTGGTCTCTCACCCCCCAATTAGAAGGCATGTATGGGGTCCATACAAAATTTGGTAAATTTCACCTTTTCGCTTCTACTCCCAGCCTTTTCAGACCAGAGTCCGATGTATTTTTCTTTTTCTTTTTTCTTTTTCTTCATGAAAACCACCCTGACCCAAAAGTGGGCGATCTTTTTCTTCATCACATCTTTCAGGTCTCAGGTGTCCTTCTGCTATGGTACAATATTGGCTCCAGTAAGGGAAAAAGGTGGTTGTAGTACAGGCCCATCAAGAAAGGCATTCTTAGCTGTTCATCCTCTTGTATCTTTCCTACCTTCCTTGAGTACTTGTCAATGTCAACAATCAAAGTATGATCATATTGTTTAACCGTAAGTCCCGTCATTGTAGGACTTAGAGCCCATTCATTTATCCTTTTTACCTTCTGTGGAGGAAGATGACAATTTGCTTTTAAAGTGCACCAAGTAAACTACATTGTTTGATGAAACCGTCAAAAATATACATCGTAGCTGCTCTATCTGACCTTTTCCTTTGAAGACGATAATCAAAATCAGTTTCAACTAAATCAAAAATTGGTGTTCTAAACTTATTCTTAAGATATATTTTAAAAAGTATTTCATGAATCTTATGCTTGTGGAATACAGCCCAATTATTTCTTCTTTCTTTTATTTTTCTTTGAAAACTTCCTAATCCAAGAATTTTCAAAAGACACAGGCCACAGGAACGCTGGATAAATGCTTACTTTGAACAGTTGGGTACCAAAGGTGTGTCTCACAGACTCACTGGCTTACATGAAATGGATTTAGAAGCTTGAGGAATGTCATCATGACATGAGGTCATCTGATTAGCATGAAACCGATAGTTGTCCCAAAAGTATGAAACATCCGATGTGCGAATCCAAATAAGTACCTGTGACAATGAGATTTAATATCATTAACATTAACAATTAGTAAAATCTTGGGCCAAAGCCCGCGCCTGTGCCCCTTACGCAGAGAAAGGTTGCTTAATGTGCCCCACATATTGGAAACATGTCATGCCTTGACTCCTTACAGGGAGCATGTAGGCATGCCATCCAATTTAAAAATGGTACTCGAGCACTGCAGCGGGTTTCTGGGTCCACTGTTCCACTTTTTAGGGTGAATTGGGTTTTTTTTTTTTTATTGTATATGTCTTATGTGTCTATATGTTTTGTCTGAGTGCATGTATTTATTAGCGTGAATGGCGAGGGTGAGGGTGAAATATAACGTCATCATCACCCCTCGAACGTTGAGAGCGTGTTTGGGGTCGATGGCGGAATATTTATAAAAGTACTCCATCGACCCCAATCTAGATTAGTTTGAGTATAGGTGGACTCTTAACGACCAAAGGGAATGAGTGTACTGTATGGATGTATTTATGTGTATGAATGTAGTGTTTGAAAGGGTAAATAGAATATAGACTTAGTCAGGGGCTGAAATGACCAAGATGTTGGAAGCCAGAAAAAAAAATTACTTTCTTACATGCTGCAGTTACAAAATTATTCTTTTTGCATGTTGAATTAGATCAATCACAATTTATCTTGTCTTTTTGGTTTATCTATAAGGATGACTAATTGAAATAGGATGATGAGATTATTTTAAATTTTATTGTCATAGAAAATTATTATATTTTTCCAAGTTATTGAATTCGAGATCGATATTGATTAGAATTTTGCATCCAATTTTATTCAAATGTGATCTCTTGACATTTTTTGACACAGAAGTTATTTTACAAATAAAACTGGTTTTTGTTTTGTTTTAATTTAAGATATTAATATGTAACATAAATTTTGCAATATCGTTATTTGATCTTAAAAACAATTAGGCTAAAAATAATGCTTTAAATTATGAATGTACATTATTCCTTTTATGCTGTAAACATTTTGGGAGAGACAACTGGAAAACATGCCATAAAGATATTATTTATTGTTTGAAAATATATTCTGGCCAAATATTTAAATAATAATACAGGTAACAATTCACATTTAATACCTGTTTTGGAGAAAGAAAAATATAATGTTATAGCCTTTTATAAAATACAAAACAATTTTGTTATATAACAGATATTTCAAACTTCTAACTTCTCAATAAACCATAAAACTAAAATAAACATTTTTTTCAAAAAATAAAAAATATATACACCAGCACAAAATGTACAATAATCATCACTCTTAATTTAAATCACAATTAATTTATTTTCCTCTTACCTTCCATACTTTATACATAAAAAAATCACAGAAAGTGTTAAATACAGGTGTAAAGTTTAAAAAAAAAAATTGTCAAAATAATTTGAATGTTAAGAAAATAAATATACATTCCTACCTGAATAAGGTGTCTACATTCTAGTTTGGCAACTTTTATAAGAGACATAACCCCCCCCCCCCACTAGGAACTATGGTTTAATAATGAATCTAAATACACATGTACATGTCCTTTATAATATCAATTCTGATAATCCTCTTGCAAAAATGTTCAATTTCTTTATTTATTTGTTTATTTTTTGTTAAACAGATTATTAATCATATTTGTCTCTTGAATTTCATTTTGAAAAAGAAATCACATAACTGAGCTTGTACTCAAGGAACAATTATCGAGCGATAGAAACTCTTTTATGAAAGATATCTCTTTAGTGCTTACTTCTGAGATATCCAAAAAAATAATGCTTCCTTTTCTTCCTCTTATAAGATAACTTCAAAAAACTTGGTTACAGGTTACCAGTTTCATCAGGCTTTGTTCCAAAAATGACTTCCATCATAAGTGCTTTAAGCTTTTCATCACTTGGGCTCTCTGTATTGACTAGATCGTCTAAGTCAGTATCATCTGAAATTAAGTTTTGTAAATAAAAAATGGAATTTAAAATATATTATTCACAGAGAGATTCAACACTCACAGGGATTGGTTTTTGTATTTTTTTCATTTTCTTGGTCCGCGCAGAGCCCATCGTCCAAATCCAGCAGCGACGAGCTACTGGAGATTTTGGCATCCCTGTCATGCCCGTTAGACATCTGCTGTTCTTCAGGCATCTCGTCATCATTTGAATCATCAAGAGCAAGCGGAAACTTGCTGAAAGAGGATTCCTTAGGGAAGACCCTCTCACAGTACTCACTGTTAATGTTCCGAGGGTACTTAAGATTATGAGCTTTTAACATATGGCTAAGAATGTCAGCACGGAGGAAACACTCAAGGTCGCAGAGTTTACATCTGTAATTAGTTATGCCAAAGTGTCGGGCAACGTGCCGCCTAACAAACTGCACCCTAGAAAACACTTTGAAACATATGACACATTTCTTTTTTGAGCGGTCAATATAAGTATCTATCTTCCTGATCGTCCACCAATCCTTTAAATAAGAACTAGAATTTTCCTCTTCACCTTCAACTTCATGATATTCTACTCCATTTATTACAGGCGAAAGCTCTGTACTTGAAATAGAAGTATCATTTAATGTATTCCTGGGGGAAATATCGTTTCTCACAATAGATGGACTTTCTTCTTCGTCATTTATTGTACTTTCAGGTTCGACTATACTACGTTGATCTTGTACTCTAAAAGAATCATCTTCCGAATCGCTAATTAGGTAAACTAATTCAGGCTGTTTATCTATCAGATGGTCTAGATTCTCTCCCCCATTTTCAACTGGTTCAAATTTGTTATCTGTGGTGATTATTTCTTTGCCATTTTCTCTACGGCCCAATACTTCCTCACCTTCACGCTCTTCTTCTTCTTCTCCTGATCCAAACCTATACTCATCTGTTAATATACTTCCAACATCATCTGTTGTTGAATCATCGGCTTTTTTATCACTCGACTTTTGATTAAGTTCCGCAGTCTCACTTTCGTCATCGTACTCGAACTCGTCCGAACTTATATTAATAATGTGAGGATTCGAAGCCATTAATCTGTCACATTTCTGAACTTTATTATTCCCGGTTCCTAATTGTAATCGGATGTGGTGAAGCTCCCGAATTTTCGTTTCGAGCTTAGATTCTGATTTATTCAATATACCTTGTGTATCGACATTGTTTGATATATTTTGCTTATGACTTTCAGGCGAAATGAAAGAATCAGTCTTCGTTAATACTATCTTGGGCTGTAAAAGATTGTCTAAAAGGTTATCAGGTGCCGACAGTTTTTGCTTTTTATAATCTGTTCGAACCTAGAGACAAAAAAACCCAAATATAATAAATAAAACCCATACTCTATGGTAAAATACGAGAATATACAAACCATTATTTTCAACTGGCTTGGAGTAGATGAAGGCACTTCTGAAGGAAAATGTCTTTTTTTATTATCTAATTTATCACTACGTGATTTCCTCAAGCACGATGTATAATGTGATAACATTGCCACTTTTCTCTCAAACTGCCTCCCGCAACATTCGCACTTATGACGTTCTTCAAATTCTTTCATCTCCTGAAAGCAATAATAAACTTAGATATCGCAGGATCTGTAAATATTTGGTTTGTTTACTTTTTCATCACTATCAACTGTTTCTTCTATGCTGTCATCAGTCTTAGTGTTATCTTCCTCAGAATAAATATGTTGCTTTTGAATCTGACTCCTTAACCTTCTTACTTCCTCGCTTGTCTTTCTATGGTCTAGAAAAAAATTATTAAAAGTAGTGGTTTTTATAATTTTATCAAATTTTTTATATATATTTTATTCTCAGTAAATCTTGTGTAAGTGCACCTTTTTTTGCAAACTTTAAACAGAATGAAACCAAGGCTGAAATTTGAATCATGGAAAGCTCATTCTTTTGACACTACTCTGATTTTGCACATAACTGCATGTTTTTATGTTTTGCTGCACAAAATATTTTTTACATTTTTTTAAATTAATTTTTATAACGGAAAACAGCATATAAACACATAATTTTAATAGGGTTAACTGTATTGAATAAATGAACTGAGCTACTCTCACAATGTAACTGATTATATCCAAATGTGACTATAGAAAGAGAATTTACTCATTTGACGGGAGCTTTTTTTTCTTCTAAATTATTAGAAGAACAGACTTAGATCATTCATCCATCGACAAGTTGTCATGAATTTGGAATGATTTTTTTAAAAAGTTTTTCAGATAGTTCAAAAGCTATTTCTTGAATTAAAAGTTGTCGTTTTTTTTAGTCTGTGGCTACTCATGAAAAATCCAAATGTCACAACAAAAAGTGCACGGCCTCACATCCTAGGAGCAGAAATCTACGAAAAGTGTGAATTCGCTTGAAAATGTCCAAAAACAAGTCGTTGACTAATGATATAGGCCCTACCTGCCCGTCTAAATAGTCTCATAATTTGCATATAGTTGCAAGAAGCAAATGGAGAGAAAATAGTCTGGAATTGGTCCTCCTAGTCCTCAAAGCCATGAAGATTTTGACTTTAAAAAATTCTCTTCTAGGAGAGGGTATATTTATGAAATCAACCAACAATAATTACTACTAGAGAATGTGCCAATATGTTTGTGTGCATTTTTTCAAGAATAAATATATAAAAATTATAAATAATTTATATTGTGTTCTATTAGTTTTGTTCAAAGATTATGCAAATTTCAATGCAATGAAAATATTATAATCTATATGGCTCGTATTAATGTAACAAATACTGAAATACTAGATGAGAAACCCACACACCATTATACAGGTCGTCGTGAAATGTTAAATTTGAATTCAAATGAATTTAAAAAATTTGAATGTGAAAAATCCCAGCTTGCTAGGATTGAGCCGCACAACTAAGTTAAATGAACGTATACGCAAGTCAGTTTCAGTGTGAGAGGGCAGATTGCATTCCCTTGGTTGGGAAAGTTTCTGCAAAGTTGGGCAAATACGGACAATCAAAATCGGGCATAGTCGGTCCCGGTGTGAGAACAGCCTTGAGGGTAAAATCTTTTTTGTACGTGCTTCACTCACTTCTCACTTTCTCAATATTTTTTTTTTTTGCATGGGAGCAAAGCAGAACCATGTAAAAAAAATTACTGTTCTTAGTAGTAATAGTCCAAAAATGCAAACTAAAGGACTACCCAGAACCAATGACAGATGGTAAAATTTGGTTTTGACAATGCCTGCTGTAAAAAGTTGTTGAAACAAACAACGCCTACTAATGAGTGCAGATGTAGAGTGGGTCTTTTGTCTTTTGAAAGTAAAAACTAACAGAAAAAAATTAAACATATGTGGTGGTGAATCACAATAAAAATTTTATTTATTGGTATTATTATTTTTTTACTTTTAAAGTTGAATGTAACCTAACTTTAGTTATTCCATATTCATTCTTTAAGCATAATTTATAAACTTTAAAATTTATTTTATTATTATTATCTAGTTGTATACTATATATAAACTAAAAACTGTTTGTACAGTTAAATCCAGCGTTGAAAAACCATAAAAACATATACATTGATGAGTGCCTGCCATTTGAAATAAGTTCCTATTCATATCCAAACATCCTGGAGAGCTAGATCGAAACTTTTTGGTTCAGGCGAAACTAGACAAAAAATAAAAGTTTACGTGTCTCGAGGTTTTTCCAAAAAACCCAATAAAAAATATAGGGAGGAACAGAAGTTAAAGTCACCCTGTATTATTGGATTTATGTATATTTGTACATGGTTTTAAAAATGAGTATAATCAATTGATTATAAAGTAAACAATCATTGACAATGTTGAAAGCAAGAATTAATTTTATTATATAAATAAAACTCTTACTGTGTTAAACGGGAATTTTAATCTTTATTTTTTGCATGTTTTGAGGTTTTTATTGAACGTTTTTAAGGGTTTTACTGCATGAAAATCCAGTCTTTAGTGATTAATGATGCAAATATGATCAATCCACATAAGCAAAATAAAAAATTAGAATGCTGAATTATAACAATAAGATAGAATAATAGAATAATTTAAAATTATACTGCAGCTTTTAATTTATTTATTTTTATATTTTCTAGGGCACATTCATTTTCATATCAAAATATAATATTTATACAGCTAACGGTTAGTATTTAAATGAAATTTTGATTTTAACAATTGTCATGAACATGTTTAAAGGCCATGGCTTAACACGTTAAACTTTAAAAAATAAATTCAAATTTATAAAACACGATCAAGCCTATTTCTCTAGTTATTTAGTCATTTTAATTTTTTTTCTAATTTCATTAGTTTTTTAACGGTATTTCAGTGATTCATAACAATAAAAACAGTTAGACCAATCAAACACCACCAAGATGAGAAATCTTTTCAAGAATAGAATACAACTCTCAAATGGAAGAAGAAAGGGTCGAACCAGGGGCATGGTGAATATACTATCTTGCCTGAAAACATCTTGCATTTCTGAAAAAACAGACATCTGGCCTTTCAAACAAAGCAGACAACGTAGGAACAAATTTATAATGCGTTATTCAAGGCACTGAACTTTTTCGGTTTAAACCGTGTACAAATTTTTACTCTAATTTATACGAGGTTGTTATACAAGGGCGATTTATTTTATTAAATGCAGTGGCATTTTATCAATGTTTTATATAACAGCTCATCCTAAAACAACAACTATTTCCAATTTTTCAATGAGTATAAATTTATCCCTGTCAATTGTGTAAAATTAAGATAAATAATACATTCTGGAAATTCAATATTTCTAAATGATTTTAAATTCATACTTTTTAATTTTTTAAATTTAAAGCTCAAACAACCTTAAGAAATTTAAACAGATAAGGAACTAGATAGAGATATCTTTATCCACTTCACCTAAAAAATGTCCAACGATGAATCTCGAAAATTACATCCGCTGGAGTTTTCTTTGACTTTATAAACTCATAAGTTATTATTTCATTACATGAATATATCAATATAATAAATATAAGTAAAGAACCATTTTATAATCAATAAATTCAAGTTCTGAGTAGTCGAATGGACAAAAATTCCTGACAAGATGCAATTTTTGTTTACCGGAAATAGAACTCTTTTACTCACCTTTGTACATGTGCCTGTAAACACTCCAAGCGTTAACGAAACACTGTTTACAGCACGGGCAGACGTAGTAGTCTTTCAGTTTGGGGTGCTTCTCCTGGCTGTGGTCGCTGAGAGCGTTTTGTGAATCGAAGTGAAGCTCACACAGTGGACACTTGATGTCTTCGGGCTCGGGTGATTTAGCACCCAAGAATCGCCCATCGGGACCGATCGTTGCACTTCTTTCAACAGTTGGATGCTGAAAAAGCAATTTTATACGTCCAGCGAAACAAAAACAAAAAAATTAATATAAGTAAAAAATTTCATTCGGTCATAACGATGAACTCTGAGAATTATCTTATTTTATAGAAAGCAAATAAATGATAAATATAAAAAAATTTATAGATTGCTTTATAAACCTATGAAAAAAGATTAATTAATAAAAAAAAATTATCCTTTCTCAATAATAAAAAAAACCTCATATTATTTTTCCTACAATTCAGGTTTTATTTTTGAAAACCAATTAGTAACAAATAGTGCACAAATAAATAAAAAATTTCTATAAAAGTGAGTATAATTCTGGTTAAAATATATTTGCAAGGGCATGATCTGAAATAAAAATATGCAGCAAATAAAACTCAAGGGCATTCTATTTTACCGTAACCTAATGTTACATTATAATCCTGATTTTAGTTAAAAAAACCAAAAAACAAATAAAGACTCTTTGTTATTAATTTGCATATTAAAACATCATTATTCCACTGAATTTTTACATCTGTAAAACTACATAATTGTATGTAGACTTTATATAAAAAATATTTTTTCCTAACACGCATTACGTTTTTTCTTAATTTTAACAATTACACTACAAAACCCCCCAAAAAAACCTAACATACATCCTGTCAATTTGACAGATTAGTTAGTGTGGGATGAGATGGAAAGAGAGTGGTTTAACATCGCATAAACGCTTGCGGAAATGCGATTAGAAAATTTTGAAGCTTTGCAATGATGAACTCCCCGAAGGAGCCCCAGAGAATTTTTTTTTTTTATAGCACACCTTTCTTTATCTCCCCCTCTTTCCCGGAGCTCAAACATCTAAAAGGGAGGGAGACAGGAAGGCTAGTGCTAGAAACATTCTCAACTTTCTTCAACATTCAAGGAGGTTGGCTCATGTTTTCACCTCGTTCAATTCTAACTTTTGGAAATGTTTCCACGTTATATAATTTCTTGATATAACTTCATTGTTTTATGCAATTTTTAAGAGGAATTTTTTTTTTACTTCAATCAAGTGTGACTGTAGACAATTGTTTAAATTAACCAAGCAAGTGGAATTACTATAAGCTCAAAGAAAGTCTAAATAAACTAATATTCTCAACAACAGATATTATAAATAAATAAAAATTACATTTCGAAATCCATTAAAATAATAACTAAGCCATATGAAGTCTTAGAATTAAAAAACATATAAATGCCTGAAATTACTATAAAAACGTAATAATATAAAAATAATCTTACCTTTCCCTCGTGATTGAAGCTGTGGAGTAAGCTTTGAGAAGTCTTGTCCATTTCTCGTACCACAAACGGCCCATTGATGTTGTAGTCGACTTTGATGCTGCTCACGCTGTCCAGGAGAGTCAATATGTCCTTCCTCAACGTCGTCCTTGTTGACAGCATACTTCCGCGCTGTTTGCCGAGCATCAGCGTCTGCTCCTTAAACTAGAAAAGCCAATCAGCACTAGCCGGCTTCCTTTAATCCTGATGCTTTATACCTCTCCGTTAAGCGATGACATCCTCTCTTTAAACTTGGACAAACAGTAGGAGCGCTTGTGCGTAACGAAATTTGGCATGCTCCTAAATAACGACCTGCACGCCTTGCATTCATAAATAATATCACATTCTTCATCTAGGATTTTTTTGAGCTGAAAAGAAGGTTAAAATTGTCTTAAATTTTGTTAAAATATAAGCATATTTATGTTAATATCATTGTAAATGTCTGAATTTGAGAATAAGAAGCAAAAAAAGAGAATAGCGAAGAAACTTTCAGTCACAAAATTTGTATAAGGATTGACTTTTTTAAATTTTTACAAGGCTGTAACTTGTGTTACGTAGTGAGAATGTGATATACAACCAAAAATGACAAAGCCGGGTAAAAATATAAAATATTAAATTTAACCTTTAATTAATTTAGCCAATAATTTACCCTACAAACATTCCATTTATAGTATATAATAATATACATTCAGTTTCTACTAGAATAGAAAGAAAGACCTTTAACAAATACGAGAAGGTTGAGTTTTAGATGTATACAATAGATTGAATTGTATTTCTCATATTCATAAAAGAGAAAAAGCCCAATCAGATAAAAATTGGTAATGGCAGTGACTAATTCCTCTAAACAAACAGTCCCAAAATAGAAAATGATTTCAAATAGAGACTATAACAAAAATTTAACTTTAAAACTATACGGGATAGTAGTTAATTAATTCTTCCGATTAAGAAACCAAAAATTGCATTACAAGGAGGATGTTTAATTACTTTTCAATTAAAATTAATCCCTCATTAGATTAGTTATCTATAAAAGATCTCTCATGTTGTCATTATGAATCATATTGTTCTTAATGTATCAACCGAAAGTTTTCCTTTAACGAAATAAATTTAACAAAAATAAATAAATTCCAAGTTTATTTTCAGTTAAAAACATAGATAATTTAGAACAAATGAGTCTACCCTAACAATGGCTTATTTACGCTCAATATATACTATTTGAATCTTCTAATTCAAACGTCTCAATGCTTTTAATAATAAAATCAAAATTTCCTGTATCCTCACTTTGAAAAACTGCTCAATGTATGTTCAATTTGTTTCAAAGTACCTCAGGAGAGCTGTCTTCGAAAAGTTTTATTATGTCTGAGAGGGAGTCAATTGAAGCGTCGACCGGTTGGTGCAAAACAGAAACATCCTGTTTTTTCTCCTTTCCTTTTTTATTGTATGCCTTGATTTGCTTTTTCATCCTCATAGGTTTAGTATTTGGTTTGTTTCTCAGCGGTTTACCTTTCATCGCTACCTGAAACATGAAAACGTGATGTAAATTTTTGCTCGGCGATGGCGCACTAGGGGAAAAAGCTATATTACTTTCGCATTTGAAAGGAAGCAATATTTTTTGTTAAGGTTAACAATTAGGCGTCTTGCATCTCTTATAATTTAAATGATAAAATTACTAAACTTTTTTAAGAAGAAACAATAGAATTTAAATAAAACTATTTGATACTTTGACCCCCATTCAGGTTGAATTGTCTACTACCAATTCAAAATATTATTGTCTATTGGTTAAAGAAGGAAAGTGATAAATAAACAGATATTGTCTCCTCAAAGGGTCAACTAAATCCTCAATTAACAATATCCAACTCTTTCAGCTCTGTTGAAAAATTATGACTCGGTTCGGAGTACATTTAGAAAAAATCAGCAGCGTTAACGTCGCCTTTATTAAATATTTAATTCAAACCATTAATCTTTCTAGCTTTTAGAGATTTCAAATAAATGTTATGTTCTTGGCTGAAAACAAAGACTGTAGTATCGAAAAATCATTTGTTACCAAATAGTGCAAATTTGAAATACAAAGCAAGTTTTATGTTATGGCGAACATGTTTTACAACATTTTTTATACAATACAGTCCCTGTTTTGATGTTAAAAAAATGTTTTCTCAAATAACACCAAAAGAAAGGGGGCATTTTATTTCCTGTTGATATATGAAAGGGAAGGGCAATAGATAAAATCTGTTAATTCCGTATAATGAGGATTTTAGTCAAATCAATTAAAGCAAAAACTTAACGTCTTGGTTTGGCCACCTCAGTGAATGAACGGATGAGTTCATAAAAACTGTGTAATATGAAATATTATATTTTTTATTATCATGTACATGGAAAAAAAGAAGAAAATGTGCACTTTGTCGGAAATTATCAACATGATTGTAATTTTATAGTAGAATATTATTGTAATTCTCAAGAAGAAACATTATTCTGAACGTTTACACGCAATTCAATGTTAAAATCTGAAATTTTTTACTTTTTTCAGTTTATTTGTTAACTTTGTTTATTATAACATGACTCTTTTATTACAAATCATTCGGAATTTGAAATTTTCAGCATGTTAAGGCTTAATTAAAGCGATATTTTATCTATTATTTTATTATGTGATTATTTATATAAAGGCCAGGTGAATATCTTTACAAAGAATATTTTTTATAAACTAAAACACCCGAACTTCAATTTTGATTCAAATTGTAAGTCGTTAAAACATGCCTTTTTCTCAAAAAGAATGTACAGACTTTATTTCCTGTTGATATGTCAAAAGGCAAGGGTACTAGATAAAATGTGTTAATACCATATAAGAAGGATTTTAGTAATTTCTTTTAAAGAAAAAACAAACTCCTTTGTTTAGCCTAGAAACACGCCAATAAACGAACAGTTCTTCATTAAAACTATGTCATACAAAATATTATACAGTTTATTAATTTATAAAACGTTCTTTATTGAAAATTATTAACATGGGTGAACATGATTTTAATTTAAACGAAAACACTGTAGTAACTCGAATGATAAAACATTTATTATTGTGAACATTTACGAACAATTCAATGTTAAAATCTGAAAATTCTTCCTTTTTTAGTTTATTATTAACTTTTGTATATTATAACATGACTCTCTTATTGAACATGATTTGTAAATTGAAATTTTCAGCATGAGGCTTAATCAAAGTGATATTTTATGTATTATTATATTATATAAATATTTATGTAAAGGCCAGGTGAATATCTTAAAAAAAAAAATTTTTTTTTTACTTACGATAATGCATGAAGCCCAGGTTACATAGAAAAAAAATGTATTTTCTCAAAAAGAATGCGTAGTTTTTATTTTCTGTTCATATATTAAAGGAAAAGATAATAAATAAAAATTTATTAATACAGAGGATTTTAGTAATTTCTTTTAAGGAAAAACTAAAGCCTTGGTTTAACATATAAATTCGTACAATGCAAACGAGGAAAGTAGTAAATGAACAGAGGTGTTAAACAAAACTGGGTTAGAGGAAATATTATACTTACTTTTTTATTACCGTAAATATAATTTTTTTTTTTTAAAGTGTGCATTGAAAAAAATTATAAACATTATCGTAATTTTATACTAGAACATGATTGTAATTTGAACGATAAAGATTCATTGTAAACATTTGCTCACTTTTCAACGTTAAAATCTGAAAATCATGCGTTGTTTTTAGTTCATAATTAACTTTTGTTATTAGTAGTTATTGTAACATGATTCTATTATTACTAATGATTTATAATTGGAAATTTTAGGCGTGTTAAGGCTTAGTGAAAGCGATTAAAACTTATATCGAGTGCTAAGGGAAAATCACAAAAAGTAGGGTTTAATTATGCAAAATTACCCCATTTTCCAGGGGTTTGTCAAGAATTAATCGTCTCATATAAGTTAAAAGGATGCAGGCAGGTATTTAAAAGTCCATCTGTAAGACTTCACAACAAGGAAACGCAAGGAAAGGATAACAGATGAAAATTTGTTAATAGAGAGGATATTACTAATTTTTAAATGAGAAACTAAACGCCTTGGTTTAGCTTATAAACTTGTAAAACGCAAACGATGTAAGTAGTAAAATGAACAGATGTGTTAAACAAAACTGGGTTACAGGAAATATTATACTTACTTTTTATTATCTTAAACATAAAATTTAAAAAAAAATGTATGCATTGGAAAAAATTATCAATATTATTGTAATTTTATACTAGAACGTGATTGTAATTTGAATGATAAAGCATCGTTGTGAAAGTTTACGCACTTTTCATCGTTAAAATCTGAAAATTATGCGGTTTTTAATTCACTTTTGTTAATAATTGTTATTGTAACATGATTGTACTAATGCTAATGATGTATAATTTGAAATTTTAGGCATGTTAAGGCTTAATGAAAGCGATTAAAACTTACATCGAGTGCTAAGGCAAAATCTCAAAAAGTAGGGTTTAATTATGTAAAATTACCCTGTTTCCCAGGGGTTTGTCATGAATTAATCATTACACATAATTCAATAGGATGCAGGCAGGTATTTTAAAGTCCATCTGTAAGACTTTACAAGAGTAGATTTGGCCAATTGTGTGTTGCAAGGTAGAAAACTAACATTCCAAAATTTTCCTTTTCAGGGAATCAAAAGGGTTTTTAGCTTTGAAATTGTTCAGTATCGGTCTGGAAATGCGTCCTGTTATTTACAATAAACCCGAGGGACCGATTGCAGGCTGAAAACGCAGTAAATGCCCTCTTTCAGACCTGAGGTCACAGGCAGACCAGCTAACACAGGGGCCAGCCGACTGTTCAGCAATGGCCAGCAGCCGGCCTGAGAACGGAATCCAATAGAAAAAAGACTTACGGCATAAATTTCAGCAGTTCCTTGCTAGAATTCCGTCCGTCGCATTTCAACATACAATAAGCAAGCAGTTGACTGTTGGGATTGAGAGTCCGGATCAGAAGGAGGAACGCTAGTTACCAGCTTGGCCGCAGGCCCGAGGCCAGCACCTGTCTCGCCCCACTCTGCCCCCTTTCGCGACGTTGCCCTTCCACGGGACAGGGTTCGAATTCTATCCGAACGCCTTCTCCGACAAAGTGAACCACTTCTTCACCGCTTCTTCTTTTGTACGGTTATCACTACGGATTTTCTGTCTGTTATCCGCTTCTTATCCGCCCACCTCGGCCCGACTAACCAAATTGACAAAAATACACGATTTAATTGTTTCAGTGACGAAATATTCGGTCGTCAGACAATTATTTTTTTAACAAATTGTATTACATAAAATTTTTTACTTGGTGAAAGTATGTCTCATAGGGATAAATAAAACAAAAAGTCAATAAAACAATAACCTACAAGGGGACGAACACCTTGGTGTGTCATGGATTTGGACAAAACTTTAAGAGATTCTCCACTCCAAAATATTAGACACGTAAACACCACTTCTTGTGAATAGTTCTAGTTTTGCCCCCCTCTAAAAAAATTGAAATTTGAAATTTTCCGTCTTTTAATATTTCTATTTCACCGTTGTACTTGCTCAAATCAACTATATGAATATATCATTTTACAGCATTTTTTATGTAGATTGCAATAAAAACATAGTAAAAGCTATGAAAGTTTATCAATAACCAAAAAATGTCTAAAAACCAAATATTTTTCAAGTAAACTAGGTCATAGTTTTTTTTTGGTATAACTAATTTGAAATTTATGTGCAAAAACTAATATGATAAATCAAAAGCTAGTGGAGCCGATGTACATGGTTGACAATTAAAAAAAAATTCTCAAGTGAATGTTATAACTGTATATTATGTAATGTATAACTGTATGTAAAATATTAAAATTTCCATTTAAAAAACGAGGTTACTTTCTGACAAATAATTTTGCTATTTTGGTTTCTAGAGATGCTAAAACTCAATTTCATGTTAGTTTCACGGAAAAAAAATCAAAACCTAGTTAACACATTTTTTGGTTATTGATAAACTTAGGTAGCTTTTACTACAATTTTAATGCAATCTACATAAAAAATGACGTAAAATGATATATGCACATGGTTGATTTGAGCAAGAAGAAAGGTTGGGGGAACACAGATTTGGAACAAACATTTTTTGGTGATTCTATACCGGACTCTATCTGCCACCTCTTGTGGATAGGCCCTTCAAAAAAAAATTTTTTTTTAAGTTGAAATTTTTAATATTTTTATTTCGTCGTTCTTTTTGCTCAAATCAACTATGTGCATATATAATTTTACAGTATTTTTTATGTAGACTGCAATACAAATATAGTAAAATCTATCAAAGCTTATCAATAACCAAAAAATTTCTAAAAACAAAATATTTTTCAAGTAAACTAGGTCAATTTTTTTCGTGAAATTAATATGAACTTTCGTTGTAGCACCTCTAGAGATCCTTAAATATAAATTTTTGCTTGAATTTAAATTTATCGATTTTTTTGACACCTAAAATTTTTCCGATTTTTAATAATTCGTTATCGGAATACCTGATTAAAACGGCTGTAATTCAAAAATTGCTAAAAGAATTTTAACGTCAAACATGCCATTTGAAAGGAGAGGAACGTGGCTTTTTAAAGACATATGTAGCATAAAAATATATAAACGATTTCTATAAGAAAATACTCAAAATAGGAAAATTATGTGTCAAAAATTAACCTCGTTTTTTAAATTGGAATTAAAGTCCGATTTTGATGTTTGATCTTTGATTCAGCTGTAAAATGCGCTTGCCAATGAAAATCGATCTCCTAGGTTTTTTGAGAAAAATGATATTAGAGCTTGCACTACGTATGTCTGTCACGCAGACGTCCAAATTATCAGTCAAAAAATTTATTTAGACCGATTTACGCGAAAGTCGTGTATCTAAGGGTTTTATAACGCTAGAATCACGACAATGAGGTCACATCCAAGTTTTGACCTTTTTCTGACCTACTTTACTTACAGAACTTGTGCTAAAATTTGAAAAAAAAAGGCTGTATTTCGTTGATTTATCTTTTTAAATCATACAAAATTAGAATATTCTGCATCGCAGAACATTTTTTTTTAATATCAATCGATCAAACTCACGACCCAGTTATGTATGTGCATAATATATAATCGCCTCGCAGTCTCCAAGAAGAAATTGCACAATTTTTTTTAGTATAAAAGGATAATAACATTGAATTAATTGCCACTTTTTGGTATAGAAAACAGTTATTCAAGCAGCAGAATTATTTTAGAATTAAAGAGAAGAAACACAAAAAAGTAATTCATCACACCAACCTGGTCGTCCTCTTACTAGATCAAATACAATTGCGAAAAGTAAAGACCATATCCTAACAGACAGAAACAGACTAATTAGCTTTTTAAAATCTTTTTCTTTTTCCTCAAAAATTCAATTTTTGCTTAGATTAATTTTCAGAAACATACAATTCGATAAATGCTTCTGCATTATGTATGAATAATCACCAATTCTCTTGGTGTCTATGTTCTAGTAACCAATCCGGCAATTCAAAACTAATTTCATTTTATTAAGTTAATTTTGTTTTTAATGTTCGTCAGCTAAGTAGAAATTACCTAGCTCATTTTGGCTGCTGAAGATGAGCCGACAGCCCGAAACTGCAAAAAAATAGAAACCATGTCAAGGATTTTTTTAGATTTGTTTATACCCTTCATCTATTTTATGTTAACTTCAATAATTAGCTACAAATAAAATTGTATAATATTTCATTCTAAAATTATTCTACTGTTTGAATAATTGTTGTCAATATCAAAAGCCTACAATCAATTCAAAGTTATTAACGTTTTGTACTATAAAAAATTGTGCAATTTCTTCTTTAAGTCTGCGAGGTGATGTGTATACATAACTGGGTCGTGAGTATGATCTATTGATATTAAAATAAACATTGTTTATTGCATGAATCATCTCACGATCTCCAAATAATCATTGGCTAACTGTCACTGTGATGTGCGGTCTGGTGTGACCTACGTTTTAGAAAAACATTTTCTTTAGCATGCCAACGTTTCGATCTTTATTGAGATCATCTTCAGGGCTCAAAGTGTTTGTTTTTGTTTGAGCGGGCACTCTCAACCCGACACACAAGAATGACACATCTACACGGAAAACAAACACTTTGAGCTCTGAAGATGATCTCAATAAAGATCGAAACGTTGGCACGATAAAGAAAATGTTTTTCTAAAACCTACGTCACACCAGACCGCATCTCACGATCTCCAAATAATCATTGGCTAACTGTCACTAAACACCAAACGTTTTGAAGGTGTTTAATGTACGAAAATCCGGTCTTTACAAAACAAGTGTTTATGCTATTGGTTTTTTGGTCATATCGTCTAAATATTGTACTTGTAATTTGGTCTTTACCGATCATTTTCGTCTGCCTATTTAGTCAAAAACAGCAAGAATAGACCGAAAAATTATAATTGATTAAGAAACACACTGGCGATGATGCAGAAACACGTCTGACAGACCAACCCACCAGGGAGTGGCAGACCAAAATGGTCAGTAAAGACAGAATTTCAGGTTCAACACGAAAGGTGGGGTTGAGATGGGAAGTTGGTGTCCGAGTGGATCGAAGTCACGATAGCTCAAGTGGTAGAGCAGCGGCGTATCTAGCCGAAGATCGTGGGTTCGAATCCCGCTCGTGACATTGACTTTTTTATCTCAACTAAAAACCTTAATTAATTGAAAGATATTAACATATAAACTGGGATCTCAATTTCATTGATCATGTTATTGTAATTTTTTCTACGCAAAAATATTGTCTATACAGTCGTTTTTTAAACATTAAATCGTATTAAAATAATATCAAACGTTGAAATAATCTCATCATTGAACATGGCCTAAGAATCTCGGTGCTTAAAATCTGTGGTGTCCAATGCCAGGAATGTCAAACCAGGGCGTTAAAATTTACCCTGAAAGCAGCCTGGCGGTTATTGATCTGCACTGCAGGTTTGCCAACGACTGTTGGACTTCCCAAGCGCTTTTTCCGAGTTTTATACCGATTAAATGTTAAAATCTAGAGCTTTTGTAAGGCCAAGCCTAAAAAGTGATTATCATTTGATGTTTTTAAACGTATTAGAGAAGATTTAGCATGTTTTTGTAAACGATGTCCAACTATTGATCAATTTAGTAAATAAAAATTGTCTATTTTGGATTTCAAATCTAAAAGTTCGGTACACCGAAAGTCCTGTTTTTCTTTAACACGCCTTTTCATATATATAAATTTAGCAATAATCTTTTTTTTTTAACTATCTTAGCTCAAAAGCGTCCGTTTCGAGCTCTGAAATTATTAAATCAAAAGAGCAAATGGTGCATATTGATCTATACTAAGAAAAGAGCAGCGTGTAGTAAATGTCCCAGTCCGTTGGCATCCATTGAAATAATAATAAAACACTTATTAGATCTAAAATGTCATTTTAAGTAAAAAAGAAACTTTAAATCTTGTAAAAATTTTCACCTAAAAACCTAAGATTCCTGAATGAATAAAAAAAAAGTTGCAAGAATTATGTTATATTTGCTATCATAGACCTAGCTAAAACATTATAAACAATCAATTAATCAATTAATTTTAACGCTATTTTAAACTCGATGATTATTTATTTAGAAATCGTGAGATGCGGACTGGTGTGATGTAGGTTTCAGAAAAACATTTTCTTTATCGTGCCAACGTTTCGATCTTTATTGAGATCATCTTCAGGGCCTGGGATTTACAAACATTGTTTACATATTACAATTACATGAAGGATGTGGAAAAAAGTGAATTTATACAATGCAAAATATATTTTTTTATATTCAATCAAAGTATTTCAAGTTGCCGGACAGTTTAAACAGTTGACTTTGTAGATTACGTCAGATTTATTTGTTATTGGTATGGGATCTTTAATTTTGGAAAAAAAGTGTTTGAATTGTTTTATAATTTTTGAAAGCTATTTTGAAGTTATCGGACGAAAGAAATGTGTTTAATTTATGTGATAGGCCTTTCACCTCAAAGAAGCCGACGCCTTATACAAAAATGTATAAAATATCTTTTCTATACCGACTTCCTACACATATATATACAAAAAACAGCAATATCTCGCTGGCACTCTCAACACGACAAGAATGATACAATTTCACAGAAGACGACACAAGATATATAAAATATATTTTGCATTGTATAAATTCACTTTTCCACATCCAAAATGTAATTGTAATATGTAAACAATGTTTGTAAATCCCAGGCTCTGAAGATGATCTCAATAAAGATCGAAACGTTGGCACGGTAAAGAAAATGCTTTTTTGAAACCTACATCACACCAGACCGCATCTCACGATTTCTAAATAAATATCGATTAACGGTCACTAATCACCACACATTAATGATTATTTGAAGATCGTGAATTTTATGACTATTTGACAATAAACAATAACCAATTAATTAATTGATTGAATTTATACACTACCAGGGAATAATATAAACTGTAGATAACTTATTAAAACACGGTACAAATGATTATAATGTATAGTAAGAATTTGTGTCTTATTCATTTCAACCAAGAGATAAAAGTTGTAATTGTATAGTATTTAAATATTACAGAGGCCTTGGTGGCTGAGGGGTTAGGGCGTCCGATTCGTTTTGCTAAAGGTTCTGGGTTCTAATCTCGGCATAGTACATGAAATTTTATTTTGTACGACAGAAATTATTTTATACTATATATTATGCTGATTACTGATACCTGATATACATAAGCTCCAATCTACATACAAACACACGTATACAACAGATTATTCGGAGATCGTGATGCGGTATAGTGTGGCGTAGTTTAAAAAAAAACGTTTTCTTTATCGTGCCAACGTTTCGATCTTTATTGAGATCATCTTCAGGGCCTGGGATATATAAATATTGTTTAAATTTTACAAATACATGTAGGATATGGACAAAAAAAACCACGCTATTTTAAACATTATATCGATGTGTATCATTAATTAATTATTGAACTGTAAATATCCAGGAAGAGTATAATTGGTTGTTTATAGTCCAAAAGTCCATCCTATAATTTGAAGAAACACCTGCAAAAAGAAAATTTTTTGGAGATAACGACATCGTTTGCTTCGATACGTTGTATTTATTATTTTTATGGATTATTAAAATTTTTTGAGTTGGATAAAGACGATTTCAGATTTGAATCTTGTTCAAGTTGATTTAAAATGTACCACTTCTCTTGAACGGATACGGCCCTTGGCCTCATTCACTTTTCCTTTCCACTCCGGTCAAAGGCCGATGTTCTCCAGGAGTAACAGCAACCTAAGGGTCACGAGACATTTTTTCTGATGAACCTATCCTTTTTTATTTGCAATATTGTCCAAAATTTTCCGTGCTGTTACATACGATTGATTTGCTTATACAAAGAGGCCGGCGAATTTTTAAACATGGAGAGTAGGTTGGTCGTTGTCATTGCAGAAAATCTTCGAATTCAGAGCAGTTAGATTAGGCTGACATAAAAATCCGTGCCCTTTTTTTTTTTTTTTTTTTTTCAATAAATCGATTTTATCACTTTTACGTTTTGAAGAAATGTTTATTAAAACAATATTGCTTACACATTCTGACAAATGATTTGTCAGTTTTGTTCTAGATCTTCAGTTTTTAAGGCGTTTTGTGAAATTAAAATGGAGAGGAAAATAGTGCTTTTAGTGGATTTATTATTGCCACAATGGGAAAACAGCTCAGACTGCTAGAAGGAATTGTGGATGATGATGACGCTTTAGGATAAAGTCAGTAAGTACCCATTCGACCGTTAATGATGACCGAATTAAAGCTTTTGTCACAAATAATCCACATTCAACGACAAGAAACAACGCACAGACAATTAACATCTCATACAAACCTTTCAACGCATCTGAGAGAAGCTGGATATGTCAGAGCGATATAATAGATCCTTCACTGATATTCTCTCCTAAAATGCAATATAAACACGTTAAAAAAAATGATAACTGAGGATGAAAAGTCCGTCTTGTGTAACAATGTCCGGAGAGGAAAATTCTAGAGAAAAAGCAGCGACCCACTGACAACAATTACAACCCAAGAATATATTGTACAACAAACTTGTATTAAAACAAACCGTTAATTCTGGCTTTAATTTTCTCGTGGGACCTTTGTAGATACAAAAATCGAAATCAGAAGAAACAATTCCTCAACCAATCTCTGAGGGACTTAGTTCCTCTCAAGACTCAAGTCCTAACCTTCCAGTACAAACGAAAATAGAAGTACTAGGTTTGGAAGAACGCCTTTCGAGTCCTCATATCTCTCACATACTCACATTCAGCTGAAAACCGAAACTGAAAATCACCGAAGTGAGCGATAATCTAAAACACCTCATTTTTACTGAGGAAAGGTCTAAACTTAGCGGAGCTGCCAAGGAAGGTTCATTGACTTTTAAAGCAAGGCCTCAGTAGAGAAGAGGTCAAACTAAAGGTACCGATGGCAGTATCAAATATTAACTCCGCTAAAACAAAACGATCGCTTGAAACTACTTTCCACTAAAAAGAAAAAATGACAAACATACAAAATTGCGCAAGAGGAAACTACATCCCTAGCTGTTGATAGCACCCGGAACCCAACCTGGTGGCTGGCGGATAAGACCGAGGTTGACCCCGGACTGCCAACACCCTGGGTGGGTGAGGCCTGCTGGTAATTTTGCTGGTAAAGTACAAAAGCTGGAATTGCCGGTAGACTGCGGGAAGTGACAGGCTCTTTAGGGTGTGTATATATGTTGTGCAGATTCGAGCTTATATAGAACAGTAATCACATGATCTTTTCCAGCATAATATCGCTAGATCAGGGTAAAAAACGGGACGGTTGGTTTATTTTTGTTTTGTTTATTGTTGTGCTGTGTGTAACTACTACACAACGAACCAGACTAAACTTAATCTCCAAGAAGTCGCAACCTTTGCCTTTGGAAAAAAAAACCAACTATACATTAAAACGTTTAATGCTACAGTATGCATCTCCTTAAAACAAAAAGCAATGCTCTTGGATCAATATATGTATATAGTTTTTATTATTCTTTTTATTAAATGATTAACCTTTTTGTATCCTAGTCGTCAAATCTTGGTCAATGGAGGCCTTTTAAAGAAATGTAGTTTTCTCAATTTTTTAAAGGTTTTCGTATAAAATATTTAACTTGCACTTCTATGTATATGTATATATTTCCATATTTAACTTATATTATTTCTAATTAAAATTTTTACTGAATATAATTCTTCTAACTATGCCCAAAATAGTCTTATTTTACTTACTTAATCAACATATTTTTATGTAAATGTTTTCTAATATTATTTATATAATATTCTAAAATAAGTTGTTTTACAGTAGCAATGTAAACATTTAAAATGACGTGGTTTTTTTTCTAATAAGCTCTTGTTTTATAATTTGTTGGAGATGTGTCTGAGAAGGAGGTAGTTCAGAAAAACATCTTTTTATTTTTAATTGTTTTTTTTGGTCGTGTTTCGAACATTATTCGGGTCATCTTCAGTGCATAAAGTGTGGTGCTATTCTTGTGGTGTCATATTGGTTCTGTGTGAAATTATTGTGATTCTTACGATCCAGAAAAATTTCACTCAAAACCAATAAGGCACCACAAGAATAGCACCACCAGCTTCATGCCCTGAAGATGACCCGAATAGAAGTCGAAACGTCGATAAACAATTGAAAACGGGCGTTTTCCTTAACTCATTCTTGACCGCTCCTAATGACTAGTAATTTTTTTCCTTTGCTTTCTTATCTTATTTTAGCTTTTATATTATTATATTTTTTATATTGTATATTTCTATATTTGAACATTTAAAAAAAAATTGAATTAATTATCTAAAATATATTATTATGTTTGTGCAAAAAAGGCAGATAGATCATCGATGCATCATGAAACTCTGATGCATCGATATCATGAAAATCAGGACTTGACGATCGATTTATTTTTATTTTAATAGACTGTAGAGCTCTATCGCAACGCTATTCAGTGTTCTTTTTTTCTAGGGTTTTTCAGTTTTCTCAAAGTCAGATTCGAACCGAACCACATTGGGCTTAGTCCATTTCCAGGAAACAAGAACTTTGTCTTCTGTTAAGCCCGACGGCCGACAAAAAAACATGGCTTTACAGACGCTAAGGTTCCTTTTAAGACCAAATCGGCCGGCTTTAAAGGTTAAGTAAATGTATTTTTATTATTTTTTAAATTTAATAATTATTTATAAATTTCCGTTTTGTATTGAACATTCACCGTCCACTAAGATATAAATGTATATTCTGACCAAGGCTTAATTTGTAAAACAAAATTTTTTTTGTACAGTTTTATTAGTTATCATTAGTTACATCATTGTATAACAGTATAAATTTAAAAACTATTTATAATTTATAAAAAGAAAAACTGTCTGCAAAAATTGTGTACGGAATGTAAGGTAAGGACCACGTGGTGTTGGTAAGTCGTTAAATCAAAAAGAAGTTTTAGTTACATGTTCATTACAAATACATTAATGTATGCTGTGATGTTTTTCTTTACCCTCCATATAGATGATGTTGGGACTAAACATAATTAAACGATTTTGTGTTTATAACTTGTTCTTTCAATTCAAGAAACCTTTGGTACTAGAACAGAAAATTTCTGTTCTAACAATGTACAAAAACGTGTGTGAGGTTTAGTGTCCTTAGTTAATGGTTATTTGGAGATTGTGAGGTGCAGTCTGGTGTGAAGTAGGTTTTAGAAAAATATTTTCTTTTTCGTGCAAACGTTTCAATCTTCATTAAGATCATCTTCAGGGCTCAAAGTGTTGTTTCTGTTTGAGGGGGCGCTCACAACTTGACACATAAGAGTGACACAGTTATGCAGAAAACAAACACTTTGAGCCCTGAAATTGATCTCAATAAAGAATGAAACGTTGGCATGAAAAAGAAAATGTTTTTCTAAAACCTACTTCACACCAGACTGCATATCACGATTTTCAAATAATCAATGTGCAAAAATAGTTATACATTGAAGTGAGGAAATTATAGCTAGAAAATGGACAACAGAGTCACTAATTTGTTAATCTAAATGCATTTTGGTGCTATGTTGATCCAAAAGCAATAGCCGCTTTCACCTTTATATTCTTGAAAGCCCCAATGGCATAAAGATACTGGTGTAAAAGCATACAAAAAATACGAAAGTAAGTGATTTGGCATGATTATTAAAGATATAAATATAAGATAAAGTCTGATGGACATCACAGTCACTAATATGTTTAACAAGGTAGCATTTTAGTGTTACGGTGCTCCAAAAGCANCTTTATATATTGTCATTCTTTGTATTTACTCGGAATGGTACATTCGCTCAGAATATGGTTACTGAATGAAAATCGTCATATTCCATGACAATGGATAACACCATATATCTTTAGCCTAAGATAAAGTCATAATCAATATTTCCTTTAGGACATGATACAAACTACACAATCTATTGTTTTCTACATTTCTTATTGATATGGAAGTAAGTCTAATGGACATCACAGTCACTAATTTGTTTAACAAGGTAGGATTTTAGTGTTACGGTGATCCAAAAAGCAATAAACACTAAGAATTAAGAACTTGAGTCATTTTGATTTCAAGATACTGATTCAGTAGAGTACATAACTTAATGTGTAAACAAATTCATACAGCTTTACCAATATATATGAAATGATTTTAGCTCATCTGTCATTGCATATTCATGACAACTACATACGAAAAAAATGTAAATTAATATCAAGTTCTCAATAGCCTCCAGTTGTTGGAAATGCTGATAATCTTATGATAATTTATATTTGTATAAATTGTGGTTCTATGTATTTACTCGGAATGGTATTCGTTCAGAATGTTGTTATTGAGTTAAAATTTCATATTAATAATGTAGGACAATGGATAACAGAGTCACTAGAGTACATAACCGTATTTTTTAACTTATTGAAACAGTCAATTTTAAAATTTGAATGTTCATTTGTAAAGTTGGTTTTAAAATTACATTCTCACTACTGGGAGAAACAGTATTTAAAAATGTATTTTCTGATGTTGGTTCAAATAATTAAGTCCTTGCTTAGTAAAACTAATCATCTTATTGTTTAGAATAATAATGACAATGGAATAATTTTTCATTCACATTTGTTAATGAGCATAGTAGACAATATTTTTGGGTGCACACTCAGTTGGCAAATATATATTTTGTTTGTATATTTTATATTTATTTTTATTACAGATTTTTGATCACTTGCTTGTTGCAAGGCCATTGACGCTGTCTTCACATTTGCTCTTGCACCAAAAAAGATCTGTATCGGACACAAGAGCTATCAATATTGAAAAGGAGAGTTTTCTCCAAAATCTGGTAAACCGTCTGAGGCTCCAGTTGAAAAAATATGTATGTCCATTAGATTCGATTATGAAGGACTGTCTATTCTTTTAATAGATAATATGATTTTCAGAAACTGAGATCCAGTGGATACCTACTTTATGAATCGATAGCAGACCATATCGACTATGATACTTTTACAATTGGTTTGTTCTTATACGTTAAAAAAAAAATTTGTTTTTGTGGAGAGTATTTTTGTTTTTACACGTGCCAAAATATGGACCCAGATGGTGAAGATTGGATGGGAAGAAGTGGAAACGGGGTTGGAGTATTGATCTAATTCTGAGCTATGTACAGTCATACTCTCAATCCAATATATACTCCGCTTTCCACCAAGCAGCTGCCATCTATTCACCTTTTAGTAAAACAATGTCAAGCCAGAAAACAACAATACACATATTTTAAAAAGAGAAATGAAGAATATATTTTATGCATTTCATTGCATACAGCAATTGCCAAATTATAAAAATAAATTTAGTTCTTCATGATATTAGAGAGAAATGGTTAAGGAAAATTGGATTGAAATTTAAATACCATTAAAATAACTGATAGATATTTGATTTATTGTAGTAATGAAAAAGATTTTACATTCAACCAGATGTGTTTTGGTTTCTTCTATTTTTATTAAATTTGTTTGCAGAGATGAACCTTCCGGACACTTTCCACACTTGGTTTGTCATCACGGAACTACATGTGTGGATGCTTATGGCTCGGCTTATGGTAGAGGGAGAAGAGGGTAAATTTGCTCGGAACTGTCTGGTAGAAGCGCTTTGGCAAGACGTGTCTGCTCGGGCTAAAAATCTTGGTGTATGTTTAAAACATAAATACCTTAGCGTATAATGAGTGGATTATGACAGTTTAATAAAGTCAACTTTCCTTTTTCATAATTTAACATTAGTTCGTTAATTGCAGCAAGAACATCCGTCTATAATAAGAAAACAAATTATTATTTTAAACGAGGAATTTCAAGCTGCACTTGTCAGCTACGACGAGGGGCTTCTCGGCGAGGACAGAGTTTTGGCAAATGCGCTTTGGCGGCGTTTTTTTGACAGATCTTGTGACAATGTAGTCTTGTTGGAAGCCATGGTTAAATATGTGAGGCAAACTGTGAGTATAAACCTATCTTTATTGTTTATCTTTCTCTCGGTATCAAGACCAACTAAAGATTTTTCGGTTTCCAGATGTTTCTCCTTGATAGGATGAACATTGAAGATTTATTGTTCAAAAGAAACATCAGATGGGTCACCAAAACTGAATTGTTCGAAGACCTTCCTCCGAAGTAGTTTTTTAAATCAGTAGTGACTGTAAATACTTATAGGTTTTGCTATTATTGCTTGTAAAATGCAAATATTAATCTGTGATTTGTACAGTTTATTATAGTTACAGTAATAAATACACTAATACTTATTATCTTTTTTATTCAAGCCTGTTTCGCTGATTAACATTTTCAGGACTTGTAACAAGATAACTCGTTTGGGCCTGGATACTCCCTAGGCCCAATGACGAGTTACCTTGTTCTTGTGGTTTTTTGTCTTTTAAGAGCGCTAATTGGACATCACAGCAGCTGAGGTGAATGGAGACTCACACACCCTCCTCTCTCTCTCTCTCTCTCTCTCTCTCTCTCTCTCTCTCTCTCTCTCTGTTCCTCCTCTCTCACCTCTCTCTCTTCCTCCCTTGTTTTCTGTCTCTCTGTTCCTCCTCTCTCTCCTACCCCTTCAATCTACCCTATTTGGGTTTCTAATTTTTTGTCTTTGTCTACCTAGTGCCCCAGTTTTAGTTTTACATCGTTTACATTCACAGTACTTTAAGAATGTAATTCTCTGTACTCCTAATCGGACCTTAAAAAATCAGTATTTATTTATTTTGGTTATTATGTTTTAACATGCATAAGATTTTTTGAGTATAATAAATGTTTAATTAAATACACCTTTTTTTCTCCTTACATTTATTTATATCTTTTGTACAATATAATATATCCAAGGAATGTGCTGTCAAATATTGAACGGAAATGGTGCTGCATAAAAGGACTCAAAATTAATACAAATAATTTTGGGTATGTACCTGTTAGTGAAAATAATCGTATATTAGAGGTGTAGAGGCTGTGGGACTTAGGGATTGAGATTCTTTGAAGAAAGGAGCATTAACTCTTTAACTCCAGGCCTGTCTTTATGAAGTGTTTTATTGGAGTCATAGAAAGGAAAGTAGTGCAAAATTAATTAAGGTTTCAGTTGAGATAAAAAAGTCAATGGCACGAGCGGGATTCGGTGTGGTAGAGGTGGGAAGTGGGTGCCCGAGTGGATCGAGGTCACAATAGCTCAAGTGGTAAAGCAGCGGTGTATCAAGCCGAAGATCGTGGGTTCGAATCCTGCGTCGTGCCATTGACTTTTTTATCTCAACTGAAAACCTTAATTGTAATATATTAATTGGTCAAGCGGACCAGGAAACTAGGGAATTGAGTAATGCAAAATGTTTGGATTCGGTGTTATGATTGTTTTATAATACTCAAGAAATCAAGTCTGTAACTTCAAACCGGACTGATAACGAACAATTTATTTTTCACAGCTTGGGATTATTTATTTACACGATATTCAATTGTGTAAAACTAAGGAATGATTGTAGTCAAAGTTAATCCAAAGAGAGTCCGTATTTCATTTATTTTTAGAAAAATAACACGTCTTGTAATTAATCGACATTGCCAATGCCTTGAAACAATAAAGGTTTTTAATATATTTCCTCAAAAAGGCAAATTGAAATTACAGTTACAACAGGGACTGGTATAAAGTAATTCCTGTCATACAGGACGATGTAATGTCAATTGCACCTCTGTGTCACGGAAGCGGGGTCAAACAACTTTACCTATATAGTTTTCCGTGGTAGCTGAGTGGTTAGCATGAGAGACTCACGCCGCGGTCGTGAGTTCGATTCCCACCGTCGCCTCTGGCCCTTTTTTCACAATAATCCCCCCCCCCCCAAATTTGAACACGCATATATGAATTGTCACATGGCTAATATGCATAGTTCATAACGCCAAAAAAAAAGTTTTTAGTTGAGATAAAAAAGTCGATGGCACGAGCGGGATTCGAACCCACGACCTTCGGCTAAATACGCCGCTATTCTATTAGTTGAGCTATCATGACTTCGATCACCTCGGACACTAACTTCCCATCTCAACCACACCTTTTGAATTTTCTTTCCTTTTTGCCATTTTTCAATGGCGTATCTAGCCAAGATCGTGGGTTTACTTTTTTATCTCAACTAAAAACCTTAATTAAGTTTAATATAATAAAGAAATGTATACAGTATTGAACAAAACAGATAAACTATTTTTAGTAAAAATATAGCTTCTTTATGTTTAAACTAAATTAAACAAGATCAGAAATTCATGAGTTTTAATTTAAAAAATTACTGATTTTGATGGTTTGAAAGAAAATTGACTAAAACACCGGAAAATCATTTAGTGTTACATCAAAGTTTAATTATTAATTGATTACCTGGTTTTGCTCTTAATGCGTTATTAAGATAATAAATTGTTAGTTAAATTTATTCTAACACTAAATGATTTTCCGTTTTGGTGAATTTTCTTTCAAATCATCACAATTAAATAATTTTGATTAAAACTCAAATTTCTGATCTCGTTTAATTTGGTTTACATTAAAATAAGTAAGTTGTAATTAATATAACAATACAAATACATACAGTTTGAAATAAAAAACAAAATATAAGTGTCCAGTTTTTTCCCGTCTTTGAGTGAATTTAACTTCATTGTACTACAGGAATTGTACTTGTATTTTTAATTCTAAAGTAGAGTTATTATATGAACTGTATCTTACAGTACATTATTTTAAAACATTGTATCTATTCAGTTCAAAACTGCTTTATTTACAATGAATAATTCCTGATATATATGAAATAGGTAGCATTTGTTTCCAAGACCCTGACCGACAGAAAAGTCAACCAATTTAAAAAAAAAATTTATTATTATTTTTTAAGGGCGTTTTAACGGCTAAGGTCATTTCACGCCCTAACATCCAAACCTTCTATCTTAGGTTAGCTATATCCCTTCTGAGTGCTATCTTTATACATTATCTTTTATAATTTATCTCTGACATTCACTCATAAACTAATTTATCCTACTGCCATCCAAAGCTTTAATTTATCCTTTTAAAATTCTTAGTTTGGAATGCAAAATGTATGCAAAAATCCCATTTTAAATTACATATAAAATTTCTTCCTGCTTTTTGAATTTTGGTTCCATAATATGCTTGTATGGCTAATAATAATGGAGTCAGACTAGCAACAATCTCAGCATGAGTATAGGCTCATCCTTATCCTTTTATTCTTCCATTCAAATATGATAAATAAACTAATTTTACATAATAATAATAAGAAAATACAAAGAAAACACAATAACACAATAATTTTTTATTTTTTTTATTTTCTTCCATTTCATTTTTCCCCTCCGGCATCCTCAAAAAATCTTCCATGCACAACTCTCATTCAAACATTAGCAGGCAAACATTCAATGGTAAAACAATTTGGGAAAAGGCCTAAATCTCATTATAAATACCAATAAATTTGAGAAAACTAAAAAGTGCTCTTTGAAAGGAACAATGAGGACCCAGTAACTCCTGTAAATCACTCGAAAGGTCGAGCCTTTGCCTAAAGGGTTGCTAAGTGCGGCAATCGAACAAAGTATGTTTTACTGTCAGAATGATACGTTCTCCACTTCGCTTACATCGAGGACAAGTTGGAAGATTGTTGCCTATTAAAAGCCTACTATGGATTAGCCTGTTCTGACCTGTTCACAATCTAGAGAGAATCACCAGTCCTTTTCTCTCAAGTTTCTCAGTTGGCCATTTATGTACAACTGGCTTAATTTCTTTCATACTGTCTCTACAGACATTCCATCTTGCCGCCCACTTTCATTTGATAATGTTTTTAACATAAATGATCTATTATATCATCTGGGTGGAGAGGAAATTGATCTTTCTTTGTGGATGGTTTGCAGCGTTCCTTGCCTGTTGATCAGCTTTTTCATTTCCAGAAATGCCGACATGACTTGGAACCCAAACGAATACCACATGTTTGTTAAGTGTTCTGATTTCATAGAGATATTTGTGAATTTCTAAGATGTATGGGTCAACCGAGAAATTATTTTTGATGGCTTTGAGACCACTTTTCGAATCGGAGCAAATAATGGCATTACAAATTCCTTGCGATTCCTTTATAATGCTCAACGATCTTCTGATTGTATGAAGTTCAGCTGTGTTTATATATTTGTTTTAGTTCATTATTATTTTTTTTAAACATTTTTATTTATCTATTTCTTTAATTATTTATTTTATTTATTCGGACTTTCACACGAAGGGTACACATCAGGGAGTTCACCCACCCCATTATGTGGCTTCGTCGCTGTATCCCCTTAAGACATATGGCCAAGAGATCGCTTCCCTACCAACAGGGTTAGGGTCTGATGGGGGCTATCTACTAGGCCATTTCAACTCCAAATGCACGCACCTACAATCTAGCCTAATACTTACTACTTAAATTGGATATATCAATCACACTAATAAATACATTCACACATTGCACTTATTCTGATTGGTGGAGTACTGGATATTCCTCCGTCGACCTGTACACAGTATTAATAATCTAACCTAAATTAGGGTCGATGAGGTACTTTTATAAATATTCCTCCATCAACACTAAACCAACACTTCTTGGGGGGTGTTGTGACACTTTATTCCACCATCATTCCTCACCATTCATGCTAATAAATACACACATTTAAACAAAACAAGTAGAATAGAACAATATTATTATTACTATTTGGGAGCTGTAAGCAATTATTTTTTGTTAAAAGTTTCATTTAAGATTGTAAGCTGTTCTACCATACCTGATTAAACTGACCCAATCTTTTCCATTCCAGTTTCTTTTCAGATAATCTACGTACACGTTTACTGGGAGAACTTCCAGCCCTATCTATTTTTTTTCTCAAATCACATTATCTTGGACAGATCACAGTAAAATAGTACAGATCTTCTTCTTTATCTAAATGACAAATACGTTCAGTTTCAGACGTAATAAAAAAATATTGTATTTATGATTATAGTAAAGTCATTGAGAGGAAGAAACAATATTTGTATTTATATACCTTTTCTACTAAAGGCTTTTTCTTAATACCAGAAAAATGTGTTGCATTTTAAATTTCTGTACAGTTTTTCCTACAGAATGAGAGGAATAATGGTCATTGCTATAAAAATGAAAATAAATGTATTGAAGTTTATTATTTTATCCAGATGCAACATTTTAAAGTTAATAATATGTGATATACATGTAAAAATAATAGTTATACATAATATAAAATTTATGGTACTTTTTAAAAATTAAAATGAGTATTTTTAATATTAACCACAATATGATAACTGTTTTTTACTATTTTTAATATGATCAAGTCTCAAAATCGTGAGGAAACCTGTTTAAAATATGAAGTAGAGATAAGATAATATTTACATTTGCAAACCACTTCTTGATTCCTAATCCTTACTAGCAACAACTGGCCAGGAGCTTTGGTAATTATTTTACATTTTCTTTAAATGGTTTACATTATAAATATTCCAACACCCTTAAGAGCACTGACTAGTTTGCTGCAAATAAGAAAAACTAACACAGTTTTTTTATTCTATGATTTCCATTTCGCATATTTACAGTAAATTGAATTTTATTGTCAAATGGAGACTGCATTTTAAATTTTGAAAGTTGGGAAGAAAAATGGGAAAATTGGGCTTTCTGAAGCACTGAAATTCGACTAATGTAATGTGCATTGGATTGGCTTTTTTTAAAAACTGAAATCAGTTATTTATTATTAATGGTTATAGTAAATATCAACAATTTCATTAATTTCCTTTCAAGATCAAATTAAGAAGAATATGGAGCTGGCAATTATTTTTAAACATTTATTCATATTATAAATGAATTTTTATATAAATTTCAAGAATGAAAACACATTACACAAGTTCGAAATGATTCTGTATCTGTATTATAAATAGTTCTGATATTTTCGTTATATGAAACAAAGATTTATTTGTTGTTTCATTCAGCTGGATTGTACAGCGAAGTTACGTTTCAGTTAAATTGTTATATTTAATCCTTACACCTTATTCTCCTCTTCCTCGTTGGTTTTTCGAACATGTTTCGGAACTTCACCACATTAAGTAATGGGTCTGTGTGGTTTCTGCGAAATCAAGTCTGTTTTATAGGTTTATTTTTTAAATTCAAATTTATCAATTAAACATATTAAATAATTGAAGTAAAGCAATTCCTGCCATATTGGACTCCGTAGTGTGGTATAAGGATGACAACCATTTAGCCCTTAGGCCAGTCTATTTTATAAAACATATAATATAAATTAAATAACATTTAGAAAATAGTAATATATATGTTTTAATAACTTTTTTAGAATATATAAACATGGATTGGAGAGAGGGATTGACTAATATACACCAAAGATTGCTCTATCTATACAATTTTTCGATGCTAAGTGATGTGTCTATAGTTATAGTTGACGATGGTGTAGAGAAGGTAAGTTTCAACAACACAAAATTTGGTATTCTGTTCAAATTCAAAAGTTGACAAGCTGCAGGTTTTTAAAGTACACTCAGTCATTTTGGGAATGATCAGCCCGGTTTTTGAGCGCATGTTCTCAAATGAAAATTTTGAAAAAAATCGGAGCATTGTAATCAAAGAAGTCGGAGTTGAACTGTTTGATATATTTTTAAGGTGTGTCTTTATTGGTTTTTGACTTGCACTTAAACAAAAATTGAAAAAATCTTACTTTTGTTTAAAACTAGGTTTATATATACAGAAGAAGTAAAGTTTTCTTCAGTTGACGAGGCTTGGTCTCTGTTTTACTTAGGAGACAAATACATGATCCCAGAGCTTAAAGAGTTGTGTATGCCATATATTAAAAAAAATATAACACCGAGTAATGCTTGCATCAGCTATGAAATGGCTAAAGTCTATGACCTATCCGATTTAAGCCATAAGTGTAAACAGGTAATTATTCCTTTTTTGACACCATCTAGTCAAACAACATTCGAAATTATATATTTTCAAGTTTCTAATTTAACTGTGGTCTATAATTTTTCAGATAACTTTAAAATATGTATTTTGGTCAGTTTGTACAATACTTCAACTAATAAATGCATTCAATATACCCCCTTGATCAAGAGTTACACACTGAGTGACGATTCTCGATGCAGGATTTATTCTTTTTATTAATACATTTTTGAAAAGCTTAGAAACTGTTGGTAGTAGCGATATGGGTTTATATGATTTGACCTCTAATTTGCTCCTTACCAATCATCCTGGTATGCTCATCCACACTGGGTTTGTCTGTCAGATGTGTTTCAGCATTTCGCCTTCTGAGTATGTAAGCAAACAGAGACACACGAATGATGGTAAAATGCGAAGTATGTCTCCCAGGCCAAGGATAAGCAAATCTAGATGACCGGTAAAATCTCATCATATCACCTTACTTGGTGGTTTTGGTATCATGATGACTTCTTTACATTTTCACGTACTGTATGTATGTACATATGTTAGTCTGATTCTAGAATTAAATAGGTATACTAACAACGTCTTTAGTAATTTTTTAAATGTTTCACTAGTGATGTACTACCCTGGAATCTTTGTAACAAATAAATTATTAATTTCTTGCGGTAATTCATTAAAGGCATTAACAAACATTATAGTTTCTTCTTTTGAAGTGGTCATTACTTCTAGTACTCTGCCCTGTTTTTATTTTGTTAAAAAATTTTGGTAACTTGGCTGGCGAAAAATTTGGTTATTTCTTCAACGCCTATTGCCCATGCTCTTTTATCAATTTGATTGAAAATTTGATCGATAGAAAAAAATAATTTTGGTGATTTTTGTCCAGTTTGTAAAAACTTTATTTATTATTTGTAAGTCATAACCCTTTTGATTGTAAGAAGAAGCATTAATGCTAATATAAATTGTGTAATCAATATATCTTTGGCCTTAATGGCAAAAGTTAAAAATTCTGAAACTTTTGTTTAAAAAAGTTGAAATTAAATGATTAAGGTTTTAAATGTTCATCAGGTAATTATTGAAAAGACGTCAGAAGTACTGGCAGAACCAAACTTTATGATGGCAACTGAGGATACAGTTTTCATGCTATTGGACCAATGCAAAATTAATGCCAGGGAAATTGATTTGTTTGTTGCAATTATAAACTGGGTAAATCATAAAATGGAAGATAAAGGTAATTTTTTTCTTCATTTATCGATATGTGAAGTTTAAAATAAGGAAATAACTAAATGTTATAATTACAGAACAATCAATGATTAGTTCGTCTTCTGTTTCACTTGTCACAAAAGAACTTGAGAATACTTTGTTTCAAAAATTAGGAAACAGTTCAACACAAGATGACACAATATTTGATGCAGATCAAACAGTTGAAGATGAAACGCTCAAAGCGACATTTACCGTTGATTTAAGCCAAAAGGAAAGCGAAGACTCTGTGGATAAATGTCTGACATGGAATGAAACTTCCCTTTCTAAATCAGATGTAGATGAGTGTGAAAAAACAGCCCTTCTAAAAAAAGTGCTATCGAAAATTTATTTTTCCGATATGATGGCTGAAGAGTTTGCGACCAAAGTCATGAATGCAAACATATTAACAACCGATGAGTCTCTGGGAATAATTATGAATCTCGTTTCAAAAGGGACCGTGGGTTCATGGCCGAGTAGATTTAGGAAGTGTAAAAGAGAAAATAAAGATCATATCAATGAAGGTGAAGTTTTCCGACTTGCATTAGACACCAACGGAATGGATGTAATAGAACAGGAGTCTTGGAACGCGAGCAGAGTCTTAAAAGTCAACCATCCTGTAATATTAATTGGATTTGAGGTGATAACATACGGAATTTTTCATTATTTTAAACAGCCTAAGAAAATTAAATGATTAATAATTTATTATGTACTAAATCTGAATTATTTGTTGATGGATATTTTCATATAGGAATTAGTGGTTGATTGTACATTCTTATAGTAATATGTTGTTCGGTTTTTTAACCTTGGAGTGCCTTATAATCTGATTCTGATTTTTTTTTTTAAACAGCCTTCTATTAAGCACTTCTTTAAAGCACTGTGATGTGCAATTCTGCATGAAACACCCAAGGTCTAAAGTATTCTAAGAAGTAATGTTTTTAGTTTAACTCGCCTCAATAATTATTGAATTAATTAATTGTACTTTTAATCTAAGGTCTTGGTTGAGAAAAGAGCAAGTGTCACAAGTGGGATTCAAACCCACGACCTTCGGCTTAGCCCCTTTGAATGATCACATGAATCCCGCTTTGAATAAAAATAAGTAGCTGTTTATTTTATTTTTTTAATTGCAGATTGCATGTTGCGAAAAACGAGATGATTCCGCCTTCGACACTTACACAGATGACATGCAGTTGTGGCTTTTTGAAGTCTCTACAGGAAAGGGGACAACAAAAGACGTGATGCAAATTGCGTCGTACGGATCCACAATCAGAGTCGATTTTAACGTTCCCATTTCTTTATTCCCCGATTCAGCTTATCAAGTAGGGATCCACACAAGCGGCACCTATGAAAAGAGGAAAGGGCACGAGTTGGATCAAGTGACGTTTGTAGAAGGAGACATTGTTTTCAATTTGTTCACCGCACCACCTAGTTTTATTCCAATAATTGGATTTTACTTTGCTAAACCCACATGAGTTTATTTAAAATCAATGAATCGCACAAGACTGAACATCTATCGGATGCATATAATTATTAATTCGTTTTTTCATTTTATTTGTTGAAATAAAATCACAACTTACTATTTGTGATATTGTATATGCAATATAATTCTAAAAGTTTTTAATTTATATTCTTAATCTCCTATATTTCAAAAAGTATTTTTTTGAAAGTGTAAACAATATGTATTAAAATGAAATACATATTGTTTAAATATAAATAGTATTGATGGGCATTGTATCTCTGTACTCATCATGATGAGGTGCCACACTATTTTAAAATACTTTAAAATAAATATTAAGGAATTCATGAGAAGTTCCAATTGACATACAAGAATCTGACTCGGTAACTACAAAGGTGCTATTCTATAAATTAAATGTGCAAAAAAAAAAAAAAGATGAAATGTGAAAAAAGAAACAATTAGTTTTATTGTAAATTGTAATCATAAAAGCACATAAATATTTTTTTAAAAATAACAATATTGTATAAGTAAAAAAGATGATAATGTACATACAAAAGTAATACAATAAATAATAAGCAACATTTTATATAAAAAACTAATTCATGTTTTATTAAAGAACAGTAAGTTTCCACCGATGTTTACTGACTTTCACATAAATTTTTGTACTAAAAAACAAATTTAACAGTTAGAAATTTCATAATTTTGAAAGAAAGGGATAATTACAAACCAAGATGTCCGTCGATTTCTCATGTATATCCCACTTTACTATTTGTTCGGTGATGTTTTCATTCCTTAAAAGACAAAACAAAATAGAAAATTTTAAGTTTTAAGGTAGAACATTTTTTTTTTTACTCATACATTTGTAACAAATTTTGTAGTCGAGCAAATGTGATTTTGACATCTTGTAAATAAGATGACATAACTTTGTACATTTCCATGTTCTTCACTGAATTACAATCGTTCTCATGCTTTTTGAGTTCATTAAGAATATTTTGGCAAGACTTTCTCAAAGCCACTGCAAAAAAAAAAATAAAAAAAAATAAGACAACTGTTGTTTCATCAATACAGAGTTATTTGTACAAAAGTAAATTTTTGTACCAATATCTTCAGAGGAAATTGGACTGAAATCGTTTAGAATTACTCTACTTCTAGTTGCTGTCAGCTGGTCTTTCACAACTGCAAGATTTTGAATTGCCGTCTTGTTCAGGATGGATGCTGGAATAAAAACAATTTAATAATTATTTTATTATTATATACAAATAATTCCAATTTACCATGAGACAATTCATTCAACGTTTTGATTAGAAACTTCTCAATCTCCTCATATTCTTTGAGAATGGGAATCATTTTAATCATGGCAGTAACCTTTTTTAATGTTTTTTGTTTGTTTTCTATTTTTACTTGCAGATCTTTTATTTCCATCTGTAGGGTAAGAAATTAGATTGTATGAATTATACAAGCTGTAACAGTAACTGTTAACAACATAAAAACTTAGGGTATTTCAATTGTAAAGTTATATAGACCTCAAGGGTGCTGATGTTTAGGGAAATTTTTTTTTTCTGTTTTGTTTTTAAATCCATGTATCTTTATAATTTGTGCTATGATTTTCACTTTTTTTTGGTTACACCACCGCACAGCGGTCTTGAACGAAGGTTATGCTGGCATCATTGTTGATGGTGAGGGGTTAAGAGACATAGGAGGTAGGAAAAATGATATCCACAATGTAGGATAGACATAAAAAAATATGTACTGATTAAATAATTTCAATTTATAAAGTTACATGAATTTAAAAATAAGAACTGTAGTGAAAGGAAATATAACTATTTTATACAATGATATTTACATTATGATATCTTAGTTGTAGTTAATACTAGTTGTCTTATCCAGTATAAAATAAGTCAGTAGCATTTTTTTGTTATAGTAAATTCAATGAAATTTCAGGTCCTCATAAACAATATATGAACTATTGTGTTGTCATCTTCCATGAAATTTTTTCTTACCAGAACTCCCCAGGTTTTTGAACGATGAATTCCTCGATGTGTTTATGCAGTCCTCATGTGAACTAAAGTTTTTCCCAAAACAATTCCATTGTGATTAGCCATCCAATGGCAGTAATTTTTGGACAATTGCTGATTTTAATCGCTTAAATGTGTTCAGTTTACGCAAGAATTAACGGTTTGTTTGGGCCGAAGAACTTCACGATAAAGCATCCTTTTCAATCCCACAAAATGCACATTACCATTCTTGGGTTGTAATCTGACTTTTGGAATTGTTACCAATGGGTCGCTGCGTTTTCCCAGGCTTCACCGTACGCATCACAAATTTTTCTAGCAGTCTAAGCTGTAGTAAGGAAAAATCCATAAATTATGAATATGCACTACTTTCCTCTCAATGTTAAATTAACACCTTGTAAAATTACAAGTACAAAAAAACTTTTCTGAGAGTATAAACAATAATGTCTAAATAAACATTGCTTGCAAAAAAGAGATAAAATCAAATTATTGAAAAATGCTATCGACTTATTTTATACTCCAATATTTAATTACTGCACTGTACAACTATAAATTTTATTATATTTCTAACATAACACAGTTATAATGCTCTAACAACAACCATTTCAAACTGTGCCTGCTGCCATTCTTCAGGTTTGGACTTGTTACTAGGAAATTCAAACCTGAAGAGGAATCACGGCAAGGTTCAAAATGGTCATCGTTAAAACATTACATTACAAACTGTGATATGTTTGAGAAAAATAAAATGTACAGTTTTACAGTGCAATAATTTTTTTTTGTCATGTATTTAAGTTGAAAAAAAACAAAAAAAAAACAACTTACATCAATCGGGCTATCGTTTTTTTCTTTTGCGTTAATGCACGTCATAAGTTGAAAACATGATTTGTGCAACAGTTTTTTATTCCTAGCATCCTCTTTAGCTCTTTTAGCCTTAAAAAATAAAAATAAATAATAAGAAAAAGAAAAGAGATATTTTTTCTATAGCAACAATTCAAACCTGTTCAATTTTAGAGGAAGGCAACTGTGAAGCTGGAAAAAAAAAAAATTGAATAACGTTTTATAAACTTCTCGTTCACCACTTACTTGAACAGATACTTGATAAATTTCCAATAGAACTTATCATCGACATGTGTTTTAACGAAGGAGACTGTTTTGTCGGTGTCGATGCTTTCACATTACAGGCAGGAGGATGCAAAGAGTTGTTTATGCTTTCCATAATTAATTATTCAAAAGTTACGTGGTAATAAATTAGTCATAAGACTAAAACAAAACAATAACAAACCTTAATTAGCAAATTTTCATTAATTTAAGGAACAGCAAACATTTCAAACATTTTATTTTTCCCTGGTTTTATAATTAAAATTGATCTAATCTCGATCAAACAATAATTACACATAAAAACAAAATTTTGTGTGATATCAATTAGTTACATATTTCAAAATTGCATTTGTTCCTTTTTATACACAATACTGCTTCATTACGGAATATGCTTGAGTGGTGTGGTGTAGGAAGTTCAACCTTTGAAATGACGTTAACATTGAACAATAGAATAATAACAGAACAAGAAGTTATTAAAAAAAGAAAAAAAATTGATTATTAATCCCTTTTAAAGATCTCTAATACTGAATGCACTTTAAGAAGCTACCACAACTGAAATCAACTCAAAAAAAGCCCTTGGGTATGACCTAATTACCGGTCAGATTTTCTAGTAGTTACCCTAGAAAAGCAGTGGTTCAGACGATGATCATCAATGCAGCCTTCAAGCTTAAATATGTGCCACAAACATAGAAGATCGCTAAGGTCATCATAATCGCTAAACCGCAACATAAGCTCAGATATCTCTTTCTCTACTGCTGGTGTTTCGAAAAACTCCTACTTAAAAGGATAATGTTAATAATAATAATGTTTATGAAAAAAATAATGCCCAACCAGTTTGGCTTTCGGCGACAGCACTTTACGATTGACTAAGATCCACTGAATCACCTGAGTCACCAAACAAGCATTTAAAGAGGGATGAAATAAAATATGATATATAAAATATAAAAGGCGTGCAGTTGTGGAAAATTTTTATCTGAGTAGGAAGCTAAGCTGCCCCTAGCTAAGAGTGCCCTCTCAACACGACACACAAGAATGGCACAATTACACAGAAGACAAACACTTACACTGAAGATGATCTCAATAAAGATCGAATCGTTGGCACGATAAAGAAAATGTTTTTCTGAAACCTACATCACACCAGACTGCATCTCACGATTTCTGAATAATTATCGATTAACGGTCACTAATCACCACACATATAGACTTAATGTGAATTTTTTTCACTGGTTTTTGCAATAAAATAAGATTTTGTTTACCGTATCATTGTTCTTCAAAGAGGGTTGTCATTGTTAAAAAAATCTATCATTACATTGCATTCATAGAGCCAACGTTTCCTTCCTTCATGCTACTAATTGTCAGGAACTTCTCGTTATACTGTTATGCAGGAACCTAGTTTTTTTATGTTTTTCCTTCCTGGATTTTGTAGTTACTGCTTGACAGGCTTAACTGTCTAACAGATTCAGTCTTTTGTCAAAATATGCCTAAGTTCTGCAGTGAGGACAGATTTTGTTTCAGGAGGCTACGCCCTTAAAACCACTCGGGAGGATGATTGAGATTTGTTTAGGATAATCCTTTCTTTCATCTTACCTCGCCCTTTGAGTTTTGGCGCTTTTCTTTAAGCTCTTTTTTCCTCTCTGCAGAGTTGTGTTGATTTTTTACGGTCCGAAAATATAAAGTCCTAACGAAATAAATCAGACAAAACGACCCCCTTATTGATACTTTTACTTTTATATCTTAAAGAATTTTTGAATAAAATATTTTCCATTTATATAAGATAAGTTTTTGTACGTAATTATTTTGGGGGTAAAAAAGTATATCCAAAGAAATTAAGGCGTTCATTTATAGTAATGTGACTTTTCTCGTTACCATTGTATGCTAAATGTTTAAGATTGTTTTTTTGTAATAATTAGTAATTATTTATTAATTTGCTTATTTATTAATTTATTTATGATATTAGTTGTTATTAAAGTGTAAGCCGGTCCCCGTCTTAGGGATATGTTTTAGTTGTTAAAATAAGAACAAAATAGGGTAAACGATGGAAGGGAGCAAAGGTTGCAAATCTGAAGGGGCGACCACCCAGACGGGAACGACGAGATGTCCCCCTCAAATCTGTCAAACATAACTTGGAAAATTATTCAGAAATCATGAGATACGGTCTGGTGTGATATAGGTTTCAGAAAAACATTTTCTTTATTGTGCCAACGTTTCAATCTTTATTGAGATCATCTTCAGGGCTCAAAGTGTTTGTCTTCTGTGTAATTGTGCCATTCTTGTGTGTCGTGTTGAGAACTTAACTTGGAAATAATTACCCAGGCTGGACCCACGTCCTGTTTCCCACGAACCTGGAGAACATAAAGTGCAATAGTTGGATAACCGATCAAATAAATAACTATCGTCTAGTTATTTAGTGCTGAAGGGTTGTCACATGGTCAAAAATATGTAGCCACGTGGGACATCATAAATTGGGGTCGCGTCAACCTTGTGCACGACACCCGTCTTCGTCGGCCCACCCGCGGCGTGGGAACTCCCCCGACTTTTGAGTTTCCTTTCCACCCCCTACTCTGGTAGAGAACCCGGTATTATAAAAGGGATGACTGGGAAATCGAAAGTCAGTCAAAATCAAAGACCAAGGACGGTCGACTCCAGGAGTCGATCCGGAAGAGAAGCAGCCACACTCCATCTGGGATACAACAAAACGACCTGCCAGAGCCAGCGAGGACAGCCGTTGTGACCCATCGAGCCAATTCGACGGTCGAGAGAAAGGATGCTGTGGCTAGCATCTTTTGGGCTAAGTCCCTTTGTTGATAGACTCATCCCAGATTTAGAGTTGTGGCAGACTTGTAGATTAATTAAGATTCTGTGGTTTGGGTACGGCGTTATGAGACGGAATTGCGTACAATAAATGTTACTGAATATGCTCTCTGGTTTATTGAATTCTAGAACCTTACCTTCCCCTACACAAGAATAAGTAGCGACGCGCTTACGCCGACTAATTTCTTGTTGCTTATAGAAAATCAAGCGAATATTGAGAGATTATTCGGCCACTGCGCCGTCGTCCACTTACAAAAGTAAATGTGTTGTTATTAAACTTATCTATTGTACATGTCTATTCAATGATTTATAATTTATGTAATTATTAGTAAATTGCTTATTTATTAATTTATTAATGTAAATGGTTATCTCTTGAATTAAATGTGTAATTATTTAAATTAGATGATATACAATTCTAGTCAAACAAAAGCGCCTTTGTAAGCTAAGCCTATTGTACTTATAATTTATTTAATCTTACTACAAGTGGTTTGTAAAATAATTTTTCACCACTGTTCATTATTTTATTTCATGAAAGATGAAAAAAAAAATGCTAATAATGTATTACTTATTTGTCCATGAATTTAAAATTGTATATTTCGCAAAGAAAAAATTCTCTAATAAAAGTTACTTGGATGAAAATGGTACAGTGAAGAAACATTTTGTAATAAAATCAATGCACCTTTGATGGTTTATATAGGCAATTAATCGCACTGTTTGAACAAACATAACTACTATGAATAATTTAAAAAAAAATATTTAAAAAAATGAATAAAACACTTACAGGAAAAAAAGATTGGCCAATGGTTTGCTCTTTATTTTTGAAGTGAACATTCAGAAATCATAACAATGCGATAAAACTGCAAAGGCGGGAAAAAGTTGAGATTGAGAGATAAAAGTCTTGTCCAATTTATAATCGTCACGAGACGAATTGGTGAACCTTTTCTCTGGCAATTTCATACAATTTGATTTATTTGGAATTTTCTTTTTCATTCTCTGGACAATTCGGAAAACCAGCGGAATACTTTCTAACAAAGAGTAATGTTAAAATCCCTAGAGTCTTAAAGGAGGGAACTGGGCTTCCTGTTATGCAGATGAAGTTTTTTTTTTTTTTTTGCCTTGGTTTTCACCATTAGCGCAAGTCCAGCAGATGAAGTTGAAAAGCTAAAATTCCTTAAAATTCTTACTAAGATACTAAGATTCTTAAAAACTGCTGCTATGAAAAGAGACCGATTTCCTACACCCCAAAGTCACTGTTTTTTACCAAATTCTGAAGTTCTGGGTAAAGCTGCTCTCTCTCCATATATCCAGAAAAGTGTGATATTTAGTGACAATTAGTTAGTTAATGATAATTTGAAGATCATGAGATGTGGTCTGGTGTGAAGAAGAACATTTTCTTTATTGTGCCAATGTTTTGATCTTTAATATCATATTCAAGGCCTGTGATTTATAAACATTGTTTAAATTATACAAATACATGTAGGATGTGAAAAAAAAAGAATTTATACAAGGCTAGAAATTTTAGACTTAATCAAAGTATTTGTACTCACTCAAAGTGTTTGTTTTCCATGTAGATATGTCATTATTGTGTGTCGTGCCCTGAAGATGATCTCAATAAAGATCAAAACATTGGCACGATAAAGAAAATGTTTTTCTAAACTTACGCCACACCAGACCACATCTCATGATCTCCAAATATCATATCCCGAAACATTGTTAAAAAATAAAGGCTGGATTTATCCCCCCCCCCAAAAAAAAAATCTTCAAATATGCCTAAGTATATCCACAAAAACTTAAATACGCCATATAATTTGCATTAAAAATATTAAAATAAACAGGATGAATGTCAAGACATCATCTGACTATAATTAACGGTATTTTTTAATCTTTTAACAGTATTTTATAATCAACTTTTTTTAATGTAAAGATGATTGACCAGTTGCTATTCACAATAAATGGTGGGATTGGGATGTGGCCCAATGAATGTTGTGTGTTGAAACTATGCCAAGCTTTCGGTGTTTTATTTTACCTTCCTCAGGGCTCTACAACAGATGTACAAATATATAATGTATACATAAAAAAACAGTTCTGTGACTGACTGGGACAATGCACAGACCAAACCCCTGGATCTAATGAGCTGAAATTTCACCAGTGCATTCCTATAATGACGTGCATAGCCGCTAAGAAAGGATTTTTTGATATTCTATCCCAAAGGGATTATATGGACAATTTTTTACCATGTATAGACCTAAAATTTTCTCTATTTCATAAAAATAATAGAGAAAATTTTAGATAGATATATCAGACTTGATTGTGGAATTAATACAATGATACATCCCAATCAGCATGCCTAT